ACTTTTATTTTCAACTTTTAAAATAAAGGTTACGGTTAACTCTTATTTACAACTTTTAAAATACAAATGAAAAATAACTCTTATTTTGTATTTTTATTAAATAAGTTATAATTAACTCTTAGTTTTTATTTGAAAACAATATAAATTATAAATAACTCTTACTTTTTATTTCAACTGAAAAAAATAAAAATCATAATGTTAACTAATTCATATATTGATAGCTATGACTGAAATATTCAGAATATTTTATGTTGATGTAACAAATTTCTTCACATTCATTTATTTACTTTAATTTAGGCTCTCTTATTTGCTCTTAATTGCGGTCCCTGCAACAAACCACTTATAACTCCTTGGTACGGCTTATACGGAAGACCAATTAAAATCTTTGGATAAATCAACCAAGACTCGTTATTAAATATTTGCGTATGTTTGATTATTTTAAATGAAGTCGCCCTTGCCAGGGCGGTCAAGCATATGTCAACTAAAAAAGAAAAAAAATATATGTTCTGCTTAAAAGTTAGCGTTAGCTAAAAACGAATTGAAAAATTCCGGACTATGAAGAATTTATAAGAAATCCGAGACGATTTGGTGTTTGAAAGTTCTCTAGGCAGATTTACTAAAACGTCAAACGCTTCCCGTTATTCCATCGACTGCTGTAGATTGCATGCTTGCATCCGTCGTCCTTTTGATGGCAAGCGGTTCAAAATGACCACGAACATTAGAGTCGCGTTATAGAATAACTCATCGGCTGATGAACTGCTGCATCAAAAAATAAATAAAGACCGATAGCTTGAGTTTCATTATACAAAGTAAAATCGCTGGAAAACAGCAATCGTACAAATCCGTTGACAGCGCTACCGACGAGGATGAAGCGACTAACCATCCAACGACTTTTTTGGGCCCACTTAATGTACTGTTGAAGGTGGGATCGATTATGATCCTGTTTGCGGAATATGAATCACCAAAACATTCTCTTTTCCGCTGGGGGTTTTTTTTTTACGCAAACGTATACATTTTAGAAGAACGCGTAGGAACGTTTGAGACGCTACTTACGCGTCACAACTTTTACACCCGGTACTCAGTCACTTAATTTCAATTGTTTTTTTTCAATTATACATTTGATGTTTTTTACATCTTTTCTACATCTTTCATCTACATCACTTCTCACGTAAACACGCTCTGTTAGCTGTTGGCCCCTCCCTTGAGACGCACACTGCACGAAGCACGAAGAGAGTTACTTAAATTAATAAATTATTCATTTATTAATTGTGCTCTTTTGGCAATAAGCCCAAAAGCATTCTCAATTAATCTACCACCTCTCTTTTTGAAACTGCCACTGCACTATGGGTAAAAAGCCCGAATTTTTGGCATTTATATAATTCTTTTTGGGTCAAATATTTGAATGCTACTGCATTTGTTTCGTACAAATGAAGCGACTTCCGCAAAATATTTGAATGCGACTTAATTTTTCTGATTCCTAAATATTTAGATAGAACAAAACAGGTTTTATAAGATTTTTATCTAGTACCATATGTTTTTTGCGCGCTTTCAAAGTCGGCTGATTTTGAGATGCTTTGACGTGTGAAAAAGTGCGGGAAAAATTGAACAACTTGCAGCTGTAATTGTAGCTCGATTACAAAGTTTATATACAAGTAAAAATATGGAAATAACAGGTCGAGGTATTTAAATTAATTGTTAATAAATTTTTAATACATTTTTTTGTATGGTTGTGTGTAGTTATTTAATTGTCCAATGTTTTGTTTGTGTGTCTTTTTAGCTTGGTACCAACAATTGCACGTGTTGTCTGTGGAATATTTCTTTTGCACAGCACACCACTGCACAGAAGTTTAAGTTACTTGATATTAACGAAATATTATAGAATCACGTGGCGCGAAAAATTTGCAGATGCTTGTCAGTGCACTCATGCATCGCTGCTGGAGGTCTGGACCAACAACAATCGTGAAGCAGACGCAATAAAATGTTATAACTTAAAGAGTATTGACAAAAACTGACTAACTAAAAATGAAACTATTACAATTCAAACGAAAATTATCCACGTTGGAGCTATTCCAATAAAATTACTTTAAACCAAACAATCATTCAATCAGATATATTTTTTAAAAGTTCTAAAATGTTTTAAAAGATCTTTTATCATAATTTATCTTTTGAATACCTTTTTATACCCGGTACTCAAAGAGTAAATAGGGTATATTGTATTTGTGGGGAATAACGGTTGTATGTAATGCACAGAAGGAAGCGTTTCCGACCCCATGAAGTATATATATTCTTGATCAGCATCAATAGCCGAGTCGATAGAGCCATGTCTGTCTGTCCGTCTTGTTTGTCGGCTAGTTCTCAGAGACTATAAGAGCTAGAGCCACCAAATTTTGGTTTCGGACTGCTGTATGCTCATTCTGAAACCAATGTATTTCAAAAATGATCCACGCCCCCTTCCGCCCCCGCAAAAGGGCGAAAACCTCCGAAATCTACATTTAAAGATAAAAGAAAACTAAAAACGCCATTCCGTAGGGAATGGCCATATCTATCAGATCACCAAATTGGGATCCGATCGGATCATTATTATAGCCAGAATAAAGAAATTAATTTTCAGTGGCTAAACCCACCCTGTCTCGCAGCTTTTGTTGTTCCTTTTACATTATTTCATTCACACTGCTTCTGCTTCACTCGGCCCCTGCCTCTGCCCTCCCCCTGCCACTAGCCTCTTCCGACTTTTAACCCACCGCGTCCCGCAGCATATATTTTTTTTTTTTGTTTGGTCGCTGCCTCTGCCGCGAGTCTGTAGTATGTGGGTCTAGGGAAGGGCGGCGAGCTAACGAAGCGTGTTGGTGTGAGAAGTGTTGTAGATGTAGATGACAGATGAAGAAACAATATAAAATTTGACAAAACACCGCTAAGGTGCAGATGTAGTCCTGAGTGCCGGGTATAAAAGTTGTGACGCGTAAGAAGCGTCTCACATGTCCCTTCTCGTTTTTTCCTGCTGTTGCTCACTTGGGAAATTTAGAGTTTGATTTAAAAGGGTCAATAAAATAAGCATATCTGTTATGAGTTTTCAATCAACTAAAAATGCACTAGCCAAAAAAAAAGTCACCACTTAATCCGCATATCCCACCTACGAAAGCGCTTTCTCGAGGAGACCGGAGCTGTGGAGGCTTCAAAAAGGGGGAACAAATATTGGTAAAGAAAGAATAGAAAATTGCATGCAAAGTTATTTAGTAGTGGATGCTGGACGTTTTATTCTCTTTTGAGTTTTTTGCCCAAAGGTGATTTTCACTGACACCAAGCAAAATACACAATCTTAGAATTATTTTTTTAGGAAACAAAAAATTAATACCTTAGTCTATATATATAAAAGAAAGTCGTATTTTGTAAAGCACTTATAACTCGAGAACGGCTGGACCGATTGCCATGGTTTTTAAACCCGGTACTCGAAGAGTAAATAGGGTATATTGTATTTGTGGGGAATAGCGGTTGTATGTAACGCACAGAAGGAAAATGAAGTATATATATTCTTGATCAGCATCATTAGCCGAGTCGATTGACCCATGTCTGTCTGTCCGTCTTGTTTGTCGGCCATATCTATCAGATCACCAAATTGGGATCCGGTCATTATTATAGCCACAATGGAGAAATGAATTTCCAGTGGCTAAACCCACCCTGTCCCGCAGCTTTTGTTGCTCTTTTAACATTCTCTCATTCACACTCTGCTTCTGCTTCACTCGGCCCCTGCCTCTGCCCTCGCCCTGCCCAAGCCTCTTGGAAAGATGAAGGAAAAATTTACAATTTGACAAAACACTGCTGAGGTGCAGATGCACTATTGTCCCAATGACCAGTTTTGGTGGCTGTTTACGCCAAATTAGCGCAAAGGGCTTATGGCCGGGAGCAATTAGGATTTTGTATAAGTAAAATGAATTTGTAGCATTAAGATATTGAATTGTTGCATTTACGACATACTCACAGAAGTTTGTTGATATAGAACATACATGTAATATATGAAAACGATAGAGAGAGAATACGAGAATGCTTGGCTTTTTATTTCGAGATTTTGATTCCGAACTGGTTGCGAGGAGTTGCGGAAACAGTGGCCAAAAGCTAATTTTTAAAAGTTAAAACCAAGTCTCGGTTATTAACGCTCTGTATTAGAAAAAGAGTGACCATCAAAGTTGCGTATAAGAAATTTTCATAGATGGCGCCACTTTCGAAAAATCTGCTTTGAAACCTAGCGGTCTTTATTGCACAGAATGTGCAGGGAAAAAGTACCAATTTTATTGCTGTTTTAAATATCTCATAAATTTGAAAATACGATTAACTGATCCAATATTTTTGATGCATTTTATTTAGTAGGCTTTTTACTTTGTGTTCTGTAATGTGAACGATATCTAGTGGTTGGCGATGTCTTCTACATCTAGATGTAGTCCTGAGTGCCGGGTATAAAAGTTGTGACGCGTAAGAAGCGTCTCACACGTCCATTCTCGTTTATTATAAATACGACGTAAATGGGTTCCAGTTTGTATGGGGCCGGCAGGTAGAAGGTGTCCAAATGACTACGTGTCTTACCTACGGCTTTTTACCCATAATGCACTGCAGTATGTTTACAAGACACAGATGATTCATATGCCTGTGTGAGTTACGTTCCATGCACAAACGAAATATGTGGAAAAATCCTGGCTGGAATTTTCCGCTGTATTGGATACCCTCATTTAATTAAAAATAAACACAAATCTTTCCATATATTTAGTATTAATAACCAAAATCTTAGTGGCATGATTAAAAGACAATTGAGGCTACGATTTGATTTGCTAAAATTATTATTTTTGTTTTAGCTTTACATGTCAAAATTGGATTTTAATAATCGTCTGATGACTCTGACTCATCTGCATAATATGTTGTCGAGCAACTAACATATTCATTAGTGTGACCAGTGGCAGAAATTATTTTTCAGTGTCCCAGTCCATTGTTGCAAAGTGTCAATGTATTTTTCGTGAACAATCGATACAGTGTTTAAATGTTAAGTCTCCTCCTCTATTTCCGGCGGGCACTGTTCTTTCCTTTCTGTTTCGTCGTCTTGAAAGAGGTATGCATCTTAAATAATCTTTGTCAATCGATAATTCATTGTTTGTTTGTACTTGATTATTACAAAATTTAAATTCCGTTTTAGTTAGTTAGTTCATTAGTTAGCAGAAATATCTTTGTATTAATATATTTTAAATTTTTGTATAATTAGGTTAAACATGGGTCGTCGACCAGCAAGATGGTATGTTCTAATATTAAGCTTGCCTTAAAGCTTACCTAACCTAAATCTATTTTCCAGCTACCGCTATTGTAAAAATAAGCCGTATCCCAAATCACGGTTTTGCCGTGGTGTTCCTGATCCAAAAATTCGTATATTCGATTTGGGCAGGAAGAAAGCAACTGTTGAAGACTTTCCCCTCTGTGTTCATTTGGTGTCTGACGAATATGAACAACTTAGTAGCGAAGCCTTGGAGGCCGGACGTATTTGTTGCAACAAATATTTGGTTAAATTTTGTGGAAAGGACCAGTTTCATATTCGAATGCGCCTGCACCCATTCCACGTTATTCGTATCAACAAAATGTTGTCGTGTGCTGGAGCTGATAGGTAATTAATTCCCATGCAGCTTTTTCCACAAATATCTAAAACAAGAGCGGATATGGGTTACAAAACTTAATTTGTATACTTTATCTGAATACATTAGAAGACTTACATTTTTATTTTGATTTCTTCAGACTCCAAACTGGAATGAGAGGCGCTTTTGGTAAACCGCAGGGCACCGTTGCTCGTGTGCGTATTGGGCAACCGATTATGTCTGTTCGTTCAAGCGATCGTTACAAGGCTCAAGTTATTGAAGCATTGCGACGTGCCAAGTTCAAGTTCCCAGGTCGTCAGAAGGTATGTTATTTGATATAAATATGTAAAATTTGACAATTTCCAAAACTTGGGACCACAAACTTCTTAAACTGACACTTCTTTTTCTCCACTCCTCCACGATACAACTGTTCTTTATAGCTGTCTAAAATCTTGTGCAGATGAAAAAAAGTGGTGGTCATGAAGTCACTGTCTGTGTATTTACATATGTAAAGAACGGGGTTCGCATAGAGATGAAAAACTGTGTCCATGCACCTCTTTTTATAAGTGAACAATCTCAGTTTCGGAGTTATGGCTGCAATTTTGCAGAAACATGTAGAAAAATTTACTGATGCCTGATTAAAAGTGCATTGCAAGATATCTGTTAAAGAGAGACTATAAACCTGACTTTAAATGATGCAGCTTGAACGTGCAGCACCCTTCAGTATATTTCAAGCAGCATTCCCTGAACGAAACATAATTTATACTATAAAGGCTTATCTTTCGGACTTCTCAAAAGACTCAAGTTTAGTCGGTTTTAGGAACTAAAAACTACGCATGGTAAAGTTTCACTAATAGATCGTATTGTGAGTTGTATCTTGGAATCTACTCTTCATCCAAATGCAGCTGGTCCAAATTGTTTCTGACACTAGCCAGGACCTTCATTAAGCATTATAATTTTGATAAAGCAACAATTTCTCTTAATGATTCTTATGCTTGAAACTTTATTTTTATATTTTTAGATATATGTTTCAAAGAGGTGGGGATTTACTAAATACGACCGAGAGCGCTATGAAGAGCTCCGTGATGATAACCGTCTGGCGCCCGATGGCTGCAATGTCAAGTACCGACCCGAGCACGGTCCAATGGCAGCATGGGAAAAGGCTCAGCGTGAAGTTTATGGTTAAACGTAAAATCGCATTATGAAACAATAAACGAAGAAGACATTCGATATGTCAACATTATTGATGGTGTCTCTTAAATCTTCACTATTAATTCCTCATGAAAACGATCGGTCGAATAACAATATATTGGACGCCCAGGCCGTCTGTGTGGAGCGCAGGAGCGCCATTTATAAAATACGTACATATATGGCAGGGCTTGGCACTGTACACGTATATTGCAGTGATTCGTACGAATTCGTACACTGCTTGCATAGCAGTGTTCAATTTTGCGTGCTGTTTTGACCTATGGATATAAAACCATCGTCTGCGAAGAACCAATTTCGCTGTAGCGATTAAATTAAAAAAAATATATATATAAAATCTATAATTGATACACATTAGATACGCTAATTAGTCGTACACCGTCATCGCCCAAGTTTGAACACCTAAAACTTGGCGTACGGTCAACGTAAACAGAAAAGGTTAATTGTATATCAAATATCAGCATATCTACAATATGTTTATAAAGAAAAAGTGTTCAATTTTATATTCTTATAAGGTATCCTTATAAAAATGAACAAAAGCAAAAAAAGTACACCAATTATTCGTAGAGCCGCCAGGTTCTAGTAAAATCCAAATATTAAAGCTAGGTTTTTCAAGTAAAATATAAATGTTAAAGGTGCCATGTACAAAGCAAATATTTGATCACCACGTTTTAAAAGCCATAGAAACAGTATTTCCATCCAGGTATTTGTGCTCTATGCATTAATATTAACCCCCTTTACAAGTTGTACCGGTTGCAAAAACTACTTCGATGCAATTTTAGGCTGGTATTTTGTATGTGGATAGGAGAAAACTAAAAATGCAATTTCTTAGGGAATATAGCTATCTATCAGATAACCGAATTGGGATTACATTGGATCATAATAATAGCCCGAAAGAAGAAATTAATTTGGAGTGGCTACTCTTTAATTAATGCTTTTTCGTCATTTCCTCCATGGAACCAAACTAACTTTTTCGGAAAGAAATGGGATTAAAAATGGTCTGATGATTCTTTTTTTCTATGGCAGAATTTGTCTTTTAAAAATGTAAGAAAACGTATTTTTTGTAAAGTCTTTTTTAGAGGTTGTTCTTATTCTTTTCACATCACTCAAGTATCCAGAGGTGAAAACCGCATTCCGTACGGTTACACTTCTCAGGCAGCTGTGTTGTTATAAAACAGACGCACACTGTATTGACTGTATTGCCGCGGTCGCCCTCAGGACTACGGCAAGGCAAGGCAAAATGAAGCAGCTGGCGTTCAAAATAATTAAGCAAATAAAAAATGCATAATATTTATATTTATTCTCCTCTCTATATTTCTCCATTTGTATGGCCTCGATCTCTTTAAAAAGTACGGTGGTCATTTTTTTCCACTTCGGTAGCTTCCTTCTCTGTCAGTTTCACCAAGTAATTTTCCAGTACTAAAAGGCGGGCCTTATTCGTGCAGGCTCCAATTTATGGGCGAGCTTTTCCAGTAGCTTTTCCACGACATGCTCAGTGGCAAAGACGCTGTTCTCTTTATTATTCTTGTTCGTCTCCTGTGAACAATAGTTTATTTAAATATAAATGTACATCATATTAGGTATTATACATACATATGTGTACAGTTGATCGACACTTAAGTCGCTCAACTTTTTCTCCAAGCCCTTCTCACTCTCGATCCAGCTGCTTTTATCGTGTCAACGATTTAGGTATGGAGCTGAACCGAAGTGTCGGGGGCGAACGAGCTTGAGAACTTTTTTTTCGATCTGAGTACTAGGCTGAAATAAAGAATAGCAAATGAAATCTTCTGTCTGCAGAAAGAAGAAACAAGAAAGGAAACAAGCAAAAACTTGTTAAATTAAGACTTTAAAGAAGATTTTAAATTTCGAATTTTTTCATCAAGTTAAAATTGAAAAAAAGTGGAAAATTGATCAACTTTAATGCATTTTTTTTACAATGTTCTTGATTCAGACAGGAATTTAGGTGTGTTGTGAGTTTGAAATGAAAAAAACGGATCTGATATGTTTAATGGCTTGATGTATATCAAGTTTATATGCAGCAACACATTTCCTTCCTGAAGCCTAGCACTCAGATCGAAAGAAAGGGGTCGCAAAAAAAATCAGGGATGATATTCGTATGGAACCGATAAGAATATTTTGTGCGTACAAACACTAACCAAATAGTATAGTAGACTCTCAACTTCCTACAAACGAAACGTCACCGCTCAATGGGCGTCTCGGAGTCCCAGGCCTCTGCCACCAACCAAATAGTATTATATAATTTAGGATGAAAGGGGTAACGGATATAAACATCTGAATATGTATACAAATAATGAATTACGGGTTTTGACTTTGCGTTGCAAATATTTTCCATGAGAGTATTCAGAGTCACGGTGTGAACAAGCATGGAGTTTTGACGGAAGGGGACATGGAGACATGTTTGCTGACAAGGCGGCTGCCTTGCACATGTACACACACATTAACACTTGCACATTTTCCTCCGACTCCCATCGGCAAATCGAGATTTGGACAACTGACTTCAAATTTGTTGCCCAAGCATGCCACTAAAACCTGCATGGACCCACCGCGTATTTATTTTTTTGTGTAATATGTATATAATTTTTGTAATATATTAAATGAATGCACATGCAATTATTTATCATATACATGCATATAGATATATATCTATATATATATATGTATGTACATATTTACATTTAGTAATAGTAATAGATCAAAAATATGTATATATTTATATAATAAAATAATTAAATTAACAAATATTGCATTTGCATTCATATAATATATAACAAAAAATTATCAAAATCAAAACATCAAAACGAATGTTCGTTCCATCGCAGTTCAGAAAGTCAGCGCACCAACACATACATTACTTGCAGTGTCCGTGTGGATCAAGAAAAAAACGGTTTGGAGCACTAAAAAAATAATTGGCTACACGCACTTATGCAAATGCAGCTGGGGCTTCTAGCTGCGTGCTCTACACGCACTAATACACATGTAGCTAGGGCTTCTACCTGCGTGTTCTACGCGCACTAATACGTGTAGCTGGGACTTTGGCAGAGGCCTGGCGTTTCGCTTGTAGGAAGTTAAGAGTCGACTATACTATTTGGTTAGTGGTACTGGGCTATACCACTAACCATAATAAACAGAACCATATAATAAACTGTATGGTTGGTGGCTATTCTAAAAATAAATGATTTTTCATCGGTATATTTTGAAAATAAAATGTATATTTCCGAGGGTTGGACAGTATTTCTTATCGATAATTCCTCGCACACTCTGTAACCATTCATTGCCATAGCTAAACAGCACATGTGTCTTTGAAAAAAATCATAAATGGATCAAATTGAAAATCTTTTGGAATGTATTACAAATACAAATGGAAAAACTCAAAGTATTTATCTCAACATGCTTGACGAAAATCATATCAAATCGAACAAGGTATGTTGATAGTTCCCGGAAATCTTGGTTCTCTTTCTTAACAATACACTTTCTAACTTAGAGAATTGTTGTGTCTCAATTAATAACTAAATTGCTTACGAAAAGAAAAACTCGTCCCCTTGGATACCGGCTCCTTTTATGTTACCTCAATCAAAACTCCCTAGAAGGATCGGAAAAATCTGCAAATGTGTGGTTTACAATTATATTGAAATCCTTAAACGTATCTGAGATTAGTTTATACGGGGAAATCATATATGAAGCATTGGGTAAGTTATGATATCCTTTTGTCTTCTTGTCTGCCCAATATTTCTATCTTTTGCTCATCATCAGTTGTCAAAATATTTACAGAAGTAACGACACTGGGAACAGGGAAACCTGCGTAGCGGCTATTTGAATGGCAACGCTATTTAAAGCTGCTATTTAAATTAGGGGAAATTTTGTAAATTATTATTTCACACTTACATTAGGCATACATACTGTAGGTACACCCATCACTATAGTCAACTTAACACTCCTCGGTTAACTTAAACAAAAAAGGTTATTTCAAAGATCTATGTACATGTCTACTATCTGTTCACAAGCAAAAGTGTTTAATTTTCTTCTTTGGTTTGAAAGAAATTCTCTCAATTAAGATTTTTGCTTTAGAATAATTTATTAAAAATTCGTTCTATACATGCTCATGGAACTCCCATTGGCTAAATGTAGTACAATTTCCATCTGTTTTAAGTGGTAAGTGGGTCAGATAGAGTTTATTATGATTATCAAATTAGCACCCAAGCTATCATTACAGACATCCTTTTTCATTCTTACCATTCTTACAGCTCCAGCTGAATCTAAAAACAGATTAACCACTAAGCTTACTGCTAAAATTTATTTTTGAATGGTAAATCAATCCAAAATTGTTCCCATTTGAATCACGAGTCAAATCACGCTCTTAAGAAATGAATCTGTCTCTAGATACATACAGTCTGGATGCAAAATTTCGTGGCTCTAGCTTTTATAGTCTGAGATCCAGGCGCTCAACAAGACGGACGGAGAGACTGACAAGGCTTTATCGACTCGGTTCTTGATGCTGAACAAGAAAATATATACTTATATATATATAATATATACGTTTCCTTCTGTGCGTTATATACACCTGCTTTTCCCCACAAATACAATATACCCTGTTTACTCTTTGAGTACCGCGTATTACAATGAGTTGTCGAGGTCTTTACTATAGGTTTTTTTGTGAGATGACCTACTCGTTGTACCATATCTCTTTCCGCCAAGGCATTTCTTCAGGTTTGAAATCTAGAAATTGTGACTAGGGACTAAGTCCAGCCTAAGTTCATACAAAAAATATAAGGACCACAGGATATACTCTTTTTTTTCCATTTTTGTCTGCGTTTTGAGAAATATACACAGGATATACTCTTTTTTTCCATTTTTGTCTGCGATTTGATTCATAAATTTTGCATTTACAAGCTTAATATTTCGGTAAGCTGAACCTGCATAGAGTTTGGGTATACTTTATAGAAGCAGTCATCAGCTTTTTAGAATGGCAAACTTTATTGCAACCATATGTAAGAATCTAAAGTTATGTTTTTAAAAACCGTTATTAATAAAAAATAAAATTAAATAATATTTATTCATATTGATATTACAGCGCTACTCATAAAAAATATCCAATGCGATTTTAACTTGTCAAAAGCATTTGGGTCCGTTTATGTCCTTAAAGTTGTCGAAAAGTTTTCCCTAAAAGAAATACTTGAAGACGATTGCTGCACCCTATCTGCCCTTCACTCTGTCGAGCAATGCTTGAAATATTATCCAAGGAGTCTTAAGTCTGGAAAATCTGGAATTGAAAATTTCTTGATAAATTTATTAGACAGCAATAATGACGATATTGTCTTTCAAACCGGTGAATGTTGGCTCTTGTTACAAAAAGTACGCGGCTCTCTCAGTATTGGAGCTAAAAATGATGAAACCCAATGGCGAGATTATCAATTGATATTATTGGGGAGTCTTTATTCAATTATAAACAAGTCTTTTCCCATATCTGAGGAAATATTTGTGGGCACAGTTGTGTCAAATCACTTATCACAATTTGAAGTGCATTTGACAGAAGATCCGGTTAAACGAGCCGCACAAGTCTGTCAGCGGTTTTGCAATCTTATCGATTTCTTAAAGATTGCATTGAGGTGAGCACAATAGATATTTTATAATTAATTTATACATGTTTTTTCTTTATTTTCTTTTAAAGCAAACCGTACCCTGACAAGAAGTTAATTTTTACACAACAAATTTTGTGTTTTATACAACGTGGAATATCTTTAAAAATAAATAATAAAAGTAATCCAAAAATGGATTATGTATGTTTTAAAGCTTTGTTACCGCAAATGCAAATAAAGTTGTTGGAGCTTCTGGAAGTTTTGATTGACATGTAAGTTAAAATCAGGCTAAAACTAAAACCTTAACAATGATTTAATTTATATTCCAATATATATGGTTTTAAACCAGGCTCAAAAAGTAAATATGGTTACTTGTATTTGTGCGTAACGCACACAAGGTAACTTGTTCGATCCAATAAAGTATACATATACATATATTCTAGGTCATTCCTCTGTCTTTTGTGATTAGACATCAGACCTGGATATCAGAAACTAGATGAGATAGAGCAACCCAATTTTGCATCCAGACTGCTGTAATATCACACTGACTTTTATGAACAGCTGTTTAGTTTTCGTCAAAAATCATACAAAACAAGAAAATGGAATGAAAATGCCTCAGTATTTCTTCTGACTTGTATTGATTACATTCCAGTATATTATCACTTGTTATCACTTGTATAATTTGAAAGAGTGTCAAATATAGTTTTGAATGTGGTGAGCTGACTTGAGGCACTACTATTTAATTTAACACTATACTAAATAAAACAAACGTCATTTATTTTGACAGTCCGATGCTCCGTTATTATATTATATATAATTATATTTATTTAAAGATGTCACACTCATCTCAGGATGCATTTTCGCACTATATTGAGCATTTTACTGGAATCACTTGAAAATACCAAATTGATTTCAAATGAAGGAAACAGACTACAATATGTGTAAGTAAAAATGTATTTATTATTTGTGTTTTTGTTTCTTTTAGTCTACTTTTTGCTTGCATATATAACCAAAATCTTTGCACAGTAGCGTACAAAGAAATGTGGGAATCTGTGTATTTTATTTTTAAAGCTTAGTATTTTCCAGACGGTAAGCTAAAGCTACATTTACATCCACATCGGAAATGCCGTGTTTTGCTTATTTCAGTGTAATTTGACAGTGTACAGTGTGTACCTATCCATTGGTATTGTGTATTGGTATTGTGGTATTGTGGTATTGTGTAGATCCCAAATTTACAACGACAACCATCATCTTACCATCACAACCAACTAGGTTTATTTACATTTTCATAAGAAATGTAATGTTTCTCCAATCCTTAATAGATACATTAAAATATAATTTGTTATTGTTTTTATATTTTACGTTCCTAAGATGACCTTCCAAGTTTCATATGATTTGGGGCACTATTTCTTATAGCTGGTATATATCTGATCTGGCCGCCTAGCACCAACTTTTTCGTTTATGAAGCTTTTAAATAGCAATTTATATTGTTTACATATGTATGTACATATTTTATGTGTGCAAGAGGCGAGGTCTCGGTCAGACCAGTTGTAGCTGTGTTTTATAGACAATTTATTTCCTGAAGAAGCCCGTTGTTAAGAAGTTATTAATTGAACAATACAAAATGAAATTTTATTAATCATTTATTTATTTCTAGTAAATTTCGATTTGTGGTTTACAAAACCATATCAATATGGTGCTCGAACCTAAAAGAAGGAAGTCATTGCGAAATAATCTCGGAGCCCCTTATAAACGAATTATTAGATGATGTTACGCAGCGACAGTTAATTCTATCAAAAGAGGTAAAAATTTTGTAATTAAGAGTAATAAATCTGTAATGATTGTACTTTGTTATCTCAGTCAATAGAGGGGAAAAAAATACCGGAGACACAATTTTTCACGTTTAATTGCCTTTCTTTAAGTGAAAATGAAAAATTGCTTCATAAGGAAGCTTTTTCTTGCCTTCACTTAATTTTAACATCGTCTGGTCACTTATTACGGAACTCTGTTATGAAGGAAAGTACGGATATATATATACTTTTTCAATTTTTAATTTGTTGATATTGTTTTACAGAAGGTACACAACGCTCTATTGGAACTATGTATTGAAATAAATGCAGAACCTGTGAAATCGGAATATTTAACAAAGCTCTGGAATTGTCGCTTGGAAATTTATAAAATATTAATATTGTTATTTAAATCGAGAAATTACAACTGTCCTGCATCATCTGAAATGTTATTGTGCATTTTAGATGAATCCCGTTTAATTGAAAATAGTCTTGAAGTACGCCTGAATTCTCAAGCATTATTTGAAGTACTGGAATCATCGCTTCATCCCCACAAGGAAGATCTTGGTTTTAAACAAGATTCAAAAAGTATGCTGTGCAGTCAAGGAAGTCCGGAACTAATGGACTTAACTATAAATAAAAGTACAAATCATATTTCACCTGCAGATTGTAAAGTCCCTTTGAACTATAATAATGACCGAAATGAAAATGCCAAATCTGTTAATCAAAACGAACTTGAGTCGAACTCACAAACTCTAACCCACCAAATCATCAATGAGCAAGACAGCACAGAGCACACTAGTTCAAATAACCTGAAAGATATTAAAGTAAATAAATCTGAAATCAACGAAGGAAAAAGTATTTGTATCCCAATAACAAGTAAAGAACAGAAAAGAATGGTATTACTGGCACGCGATGAGATGTTAATTCATAATCCAGATGAGGTCAGCTTAAATCATTGCGATTATGGGGGTGCTAAGTCTACAGTACAAAAATGTGGAAATTTTGATGACGATAAATTGGTTGCTGAATTGGAATCTGCATTTGTAAATGAGATTAGCTGAATGAGCATCTTATTATAATGTTTCAATGTTTTCCATTTTAGTTACTCTGGGCTTTTACGACACTAAAATATACTTGTAATAACCATGCATCGTTCATAACCCTAAAAACATTTTGTACACTTCTTTTGAATAGTTTTCAATAAAGTTAAAATTGTTTGAGCTAATTTGTATAAAATGGAAGGGGCTATACTAATTACTTGTGGCATAGAAATCGGTAGTTACACATAGTAACCATGTGCGACCCTTAGTTCTGAAACTCCTTCCTCCCTGCTCCTTCCTCCTTTGTTCCATCCATCTGCTCCTCTGCTTCCCGCTGCAAGTCCTCGCAGTCAAAAAACTGATTTTCCTCCTTGTTGCCGATCAAAATTATAGAGGCTTGCGTAGTAAGCTGAGCACTCTTTTTATTGGCAGTTTCACATTTTCATACCACGTTATTGTGTTTACCGAAACCTGGTTAAAGCCCGTGTCGGTCTTAGTTTTGGCAGTTTTGGTACACAATTTATAGGAATGATCGTTCGTCTCGACGTGGAGGAGGGGTTCTGATTGCAGTGGATTCTTACTTCATGCTTGGAGGAGCTTTTCACAGTCCAGGTTTCACAAGAAATGGAATTCCTCGGTGTCAGACTGATTCTTCCCGGCCATTATATTTATGTCACTTGCTCGTATTTTCCACCGACTTCGGATTTCTTAATATACGAGCAGCACTTGTCCGCCTTAAAAACTGTTTCTTCCTCGCTACTGATAAAGGCCATATAACTAACCGAGTCTAATAACCTTGTGCTCATGTCACGACATGGCTTTATTAATGACTTATTAGACCTGTTCGTGTCTCATGTCAACCATGTAAGCGAGAAGGGACGTGTGAGACGCTACTTACGCGTCACAACTTTTATTCCCGGCACTAAGTACTACATCTGCACCTTAGCGGTGTTTCGTCAAATTTTACATATTTTCATCATCTGTCATCTACATCTACAACACTTCTCACACCAACACGCTCCTATAGCTCGCCGCCCTTCCCTAGACCAACACACTGCAGACTAGCGGCAGAGGCAGAGGCAGCGCTCGCACACAAAAAAAAAAAACAAATATAAGCTGCGGGACGGGGAAGGTTAAAAGTCGGCAGAGGCAGACGGACGGCAGAGGCAGAGGCCGAGTGAAGCAGAAGCAGAGTGTGAATGAGAGAATGTGCAAAGAACAACAAAAGTTGCGGGACAGGGTGGGTTTAGCCACTGCAAATTAATTTCTTTATTCTGGCTATAATAATGGTCCGATCGGATCCCAATTTGGTGATCTGATAGATATGGCCATTCCCTACGGAATGGCGGTTTTAGTTCGAGCTAAAGGAGCTGTGTTGGCGTGAGAAGTTTTGTAGATGACAGATGAAGAAAAAATGTGAAATTTGACGAAAAACCGGGTATAAAAGTTGTGACGCGTAAGAAGCGTCTCACACGTCCCTTCTAGTTTACAATGTACTTGAAAAAATTTTTGTGTCCAACTAGATCTGGGAAGTTTCTTGATTCACCAAAGAGTTATCCAGTCTAAAGAACCTAAAAACCTCAAGAAGTTGGTTCTCCCTCTTCTCTTTCTAGTTACTTAATAGCTCGGTAAAATTTCACTGTTCTAAATGCTCAATGCTATGATAACTATCTACTTCGATGCAGAATACGTGTTTCGCAGGACCCTCAACAGTTTTACAGCTTTGTAAATAGTAAGCGTAGAATGTCCGCACATCCATCCTCTCTATCTATATCTATGTGTATCCATACAGTTAACCAAGGTCGAACGGCATTTTCAACCCTTTGTCAAATGAAAGCTCCTTGCTTCAGGATCTTCGATTAGTTAAGCCGGTATTTTCACCAGGCCCCTCAGGGAGTTTCCGGCTGTGTACTCAGGTACTGTTCTGAGTCTCTATGCGGACCCTTGATTAAACTATTCACTCTAGCCATTCCCCCCATTTGTAAGTTATTTTTTATAATTCCTCTCCATAAGAAAGCTAGCCAGTCTGCCGCAAAAACTATAGAGGTTTATCTAAGCCATCCGCTATTCCTAAAGTTCTCCTCCTTTGTCATTAAAGGCTTCGATTCTGTAAACCATTCTCTTCTTGCACAAAAGCTTGGCCATTTAGGGTTTCCGCCCAATCTTTTTAGATGGATTTCTAGCCACCAGTGTTCTATGTATCAAAGAGTCCTCTTCAAAAGCTCCTTAATTTGCCTGTTATGGTTACTTCTGGAGTACCACAGGGTAGCCATTTAGGCCCCTTACTTTTCATACTCTTTATTAATGACCTGCCTTCTGTATTAACAGTATTCTAGAGTTCTTATATATGCAGATGATGTTAAGCTCTGTGTCCAGTATAAGGACATTTCATTTCACTCTCGTTTGCAAACAGATTTCAAGAGCTTTCAGTCATGGTGTTGTGCAAATATGTTACACCTTAATGCCTCGAAATGCAAAGTAATGACTTTTCATTGCTTCATCCACTTACTGGCTCCTTACACCCTCTGCGGTAGTTGAGAATTAGTTGAGAGAATTACATTGGCTGATGATCTTGGTGTTAAACTAGACCCCAAGTTAAAGATTTCTGAACACATTTCTACGTTGCTAAATATAGAGAGCTAAAAATTCTAATAAAGAGTTTAATATAGAGGTTGGCAAAGAAATTGTATGACCACTATACTTATAACGAAGACTTTCTATATTTCGCTTGTTCGTCCGATTTTAGAATACGGCTCATGTGTATGGTGGCCTCAGTACAACATACATCAGGACCGTATTGAATCAGTGCTTCAACACTTTTTTCCCTGCTTGTCCTCAACTGGGATGCAACTGTGAGACTGCCATCCTACCGTAGTAGATTACTTATAATAAATCTTACATCCATAGTTAGTCGTAGAAAAATGCTTGCTGTAATTTGTATGCACAACTTGATCAAGGGGGATGTAGACAGTCCTGACTTGTTGAGCTACATAAAGTTTATGATTCCCATTAGACCCACCTCAAACGGTATTCCTTTGTTCCTTCCACTTCGTAGATCGAATAATGCCTTACACGAACCCTTGGGTTTTATGCTCGGATTATAATTCCAGCATCTATCTTTCCTGCATGTTCGCGACCGGTTCGGTTAATCCCTGCTGGATTCCGCGCGTAGCAGGCTTTGGCTTGGTGTCGCATGGGCCACTTGATGGTGCAGTCATTGTATGTCAACGTCCAGAAGTAAACGAGTAGGAACGTTTGTGAGACACTTCGTACGCGTCAAACCAAAACACGTCAGTACTCAGTACCTCAGTACTCAGTACTCAATATATATCGGTGCCTTAGTGCTTTTTTGGAATATTACATTTTAAATGTTTTCTACATCTGTCATTTACATCTACATCACTTAGCTTCCACCTTCCCAAAAAATAAGAACAGATGGGGGACGGGGTGGGTTTAATTAATTTAATTTAATTAATTTAATAATTAATTTCTTCATTCTGGCTATAAAAATGATCCAATCGGATCCCAATTCGGTTGGGCGTTTTTAGTTTTCTTGTAGCTTCAAAATTGTGGCTGTGGAAGATTTTCGCCCTTTGTGGCGGCGGAAGGGAGCAAGGCTCATTTTTTAAATACACTGGTTTCAGTGTGGGCATACAGCAGTCTGGACGAAACATTTGGTGCCTCTAGCTCTTATAGACACAAGTCGGACACACGGACGGACAGACATGGCTTTATAGACTCGGATATTGATGCTGATCAATAACATTTATTGTCCCTTAAATTCTAGCCCTGCCAGCCTCTTTGAAAATTCTTCTTTGAAGAAAACAAATTATTATTTACAATTCTTCGTTTGTTGAGTACGATCGATATATCGGTACGAAGTGCGTGTGGACTAAACGAACAGCTGGTACCCAGGCCCGAAATATATAGTATACAATTATTCTGGGCGCTAAGAGTGAAAAATAGAAGAAACAGTTGTGCGCAAAAACGTAAAAGACAGTCGAAGTAGATCGTCGGAGCAAAAAAAACCATTCCCCCATGACTTTTTTGAATATTAAATAATTTTACTGAAATTAATAAATAAATTATTTATTATTTGTGCTCTCTTGACAATAATATACGTTTGGCAAACCGTATGCATTATTGGCAAATCCCAAATGCATTCTCAATTCAACAACCAGCTCATTTGTTACTTTTTTATTTTCAGTTAACGAAAATAAAATTTTCCCACGCACAAACGAAACATATGTATAGCAAATTCCTGGCTAGAATTTTCCGCGGTGCTGGATACCCGCCATAAATTGGCATTCCAATTTTTTCGAAAGTATCGCCTATCTGATTTATGAACATACATATACATATGCATGGATTTAAATTTCCAAACATCGATAATCGATTTCTCAGCACCAATGCGTATGTGTGTACACTGTACACATTAGATTATTACAATTCTTTATTTAACTGGTTTAAATATTTCCTGATCTGATGCTGTCCAAAATAAGAACTTTAAAGAAACTCTGTTTTATAAGTGGTTTGAGTTTCCATTCGGGCCATTACATTCGTCCATACTCCTTAATGCGTTCAAAATTATGTTTCAACCACGGAAATTCTTTTAATCAAAATTCAATTGAGCTCAAAGCTTGTACAATTTATCTTCCGGAGAGATTTATGAGTACAAAAATAAGCATACAGCAAGATCAAGATAGTTTTTTTATTAATCTTGACGGAATGAAGGCAGAGTTGGGCTATTTTATTCGAGACGGAGTTATGCATATTGATCACACCAAAGTTCCCAAGGAGCTTGGTGGTCATGGTATTGGCAAGCTGTTGGCTAAGGTTGGTCGTTTTTATATTGCTTTGTTACTATTTCATTAAATAGCGTGCCAGTGTACGGGACCTGGAAACGACTTCTTCTAGCTTCTACATATGTACATACTTACATATGTACCTTCATATGTACATAGCTGGTAAGGCAAAAGGGAAGACCCCAGCTGACTTAAACCCATGCTTTTTTACTGCTTTTTATTTGCCTGAATCTAAAACTAAACTTAAAAGATACATACATGGTTGTTTTTGGATTAATTGAATATTCACCTACCAATTTTTTATTTAAAAATATTTGTATTGTTAAGCAATGTTTCCCGTTGGATTTATTTAGACTGAATTTCAATACTACTTGTGTA